ATGGTGTTTTGCAATTCCGTAAACGTTTATAACCCGTATAAGAACGTTTTTGTAGTTATTAAAAATTAAAAATTTGTACAAGCAATGACTAAGGGATAGTGATATTATTATTGTAAACCTGAACCAATTCATGCAAATGATTCATGTCTATAATAAAGTTTTTGAAACTTTTACAATAATTAATATCACTATTACTTAAATGATTCGATACTAAGAATAAAACATCCAGTATTTTAAATATAATCGAAAAAATAATATTAGCCTATACTTAATTGCGTTTAGCAACGCACAGCTCTTCCATATTTACATGGGACTCTTTTGAGAAATTATTGACTAAGCTTAAGAACTATAAATAAATTTAAGTGCGACACTACTAAAGTCACTAATAATTGTCGGAAATATTGTTATATAAATATAGCTCTTCAATTAGGTTGTTAATATTAAATTTATTTTGTTGATAGTCAATAATTAAAGCAGAAAACTAATAATATATCTCATTACGTTTTTCGATAAAACAATTCGTGATTTTATAATTTTATCTTTTATATACGAATATATTCATTCAGAACAGTAATAAATGTAAATTAAATTAATTATAACCTTTTATTTGATAATGAAAGAAATAAAATTGAATGTTATATTTAGATCTAGAATTTAATTATATAATTGTATATTTTTCTATTAATAGAATGAGCGCCCTTTAGAGAAGATATTATTAGAAAAATATTGCTAAAATTAAAATATTGTTGGCAACAATGTATGAGTGAATTATATTATGCTATTTTAAGATATTCAGACGTAATATTGTAATTCAAGTACAATCAACAATTCAAATTGCTCTTATAGGCTTTGTGGTGTAATAAAGAAAGTTTTTCTGTGCATTTCGGTACCTAATAAAAGTTCAAATTGAACTTCCTAATTTCTATACTAGAACTTGAAATAGCATAAAAAGAATATTATTGCAAGTGATTGCTAAGTGATTGCATATTTCAATTGTAAATTAAATGTGAACAAATCAGAAAAATAATTTTTACAATTGCAAATAAACGAAAGTAAAATTTAATTATAAGAAGCATTTGAAAACAATAGCATCACTAGTAAGCTATGCATACGAAATATTTTCATAAATAAATAGTTATATGCTCGTATACATGTACATATACACACATTCATATACATATTATGCTCACCTACTAGAAGAATTTTAAATTTTTTAGTTGTTTGTTGTGGCTATTCGAATTTTACAAGTACCTACTGCAAAGATTCTTATAGATTCTTATAAAAAAATTCCAATATTCTATATTACGGCAATTTATTGCTCCAACTAAGCGAAGTTCTCAGACAGTAAGATTTTTCATTAAAAAGTATTGAACATTGTATTCAATCACATATAATGCAATGTATTCCACAAATTTTTACATAAAGGCCGACAGATCTTACGTTTATTGCCTAAAACTAAATATGATTAACATTTGATGTAAATTTGATTGAGCACTGGATTTATATTTTTTTAATTTTAAATTTAATGAAATCCAATATAAATTTCTTTTCAAATTAAAAATTTTGGTACGCAGTAAAATTATTGTTCTCATACCATTTTAAAACACAGAGTATGTATGTCTAATGATGTGTCACTCTAAACTAAAAGATAAATTTTCTAAAAGTTCATATTTTTTATCAAACCTCCAAACCACTGATTTTTGAATGAAAAACAATTTTCATGATTTTTATTTCTGATACATGCCACGGGTGTCTCTGCTATCTCTTTGTTGTATTATTCAGTACTAACAGTATTAACAGTGCTAACACTAATTTTTATTTTCAATAATGGAAAACATTATTGTGAGATTGCTGATTTTTAAAAATTGTAAAAATATTCACAATTGTTATTATAAAAATTTTTTTTATTTTTTGTAGAATATTGTGAATTTTGTGGAAAATATTTACTGTTTTAAAATTTATAAAAATAGCAAAGGCGTTAGCAAAGAACAAAACAATATTTGAAACAATAAGAAGCAAAAATTTTCACAGCACAATGGAAAGGTATAGAGTTCTCAGGAAAATGTTGAAGCAACTCTTAAATATTTCTAAAACATGCACTCAGTTAAGTTCATTCATATGGGATGCTCTTTTTAAGGTGGCTCTAATTATTTTATCAGTTTTATAATAATTCCAATGTTTTTGAATAATTAGATTTTTTAGAAATGTTTAAGAACTACACGGGAATTTCTATTTGTACTTAAACGAAATATTTCACCTGTAAATTATCAATAAAATTTTAAACTGATTTGCATTAGAAAAAATAAAATATCGTATAGATTTTAGTATAGCCCTGTTAATCTATTTATTTATACGAAATTGGAATATTATTAAATTCACCCTTCTCAAAATATGACTAAATTAGTTTTGGAGTTTTGTTGTAACTGCTCGAACCACCGGTTTTAAAAACCATATTAAATAGGGTTCTCAATTTGTTCTGTATTGGTAAGGCAGTAATTGGTATCTATCTTAACAAGGTTTTTGGTTGTCAGTGAAAGTAAGCCGGACGAATGCGGATAGGCGAACGGAAGAAAAAACAAAAATAGCCAAATCAATTTAGAATTCGGAGATATGTTTGTCCGTCATTGCGTCTACATATATCTCGGAATATATTATTTTTGACTAATATAACTAATAAGCTTCGTTTTTCGTTCCTCCACATTTTTAGCTTATTGTCAAACGTACAATCTTGTGGCCCCTTACTGCTTCAAAGCATTTCTGAGTTAAAAAATAAAAACACAAGGTTACGATTTAATTTTAACATTTTCGGTTTTATTCCTTTAAATTTTTAATATTTTGTCTATTTTTCTTCTTTTTTTTTGCTCATCCAAATTAATAAAAAACTTTTTTTTTGCAATTTTTAATGTTTTTTTTTAATATAAACAATTTTATCTTAAATTAATCAATGGGCTCTCTTCATTAATAATTGTGTTTTATATTTACAATACATAGAGTACAGATAAAATTTTTTTTTTTTTTATTTTCAGTTTATTTCTTAAAAAATCAATAATTGTCATCATCTTTTGTATAATTAAAATATTAGAGTTTATAATAATAATAATAATAAAAATTAAATTAAATTAAATTATAAAGAAAATTTATTAAATATAAATATATTATATAAGTATATCACTGTGATTGTTTTCTCTCTTTCATTTATTTATTTCTACATTTTTAATTTTTAATTTTTAATTTTAAAAAGTAAGTAATATTATATGCATACAATAACTAAATTATAATAATATTTATATTTATTTAAATAAGTGTATTTACATTGGAAAATATTTAATTTAATTTACTAAGTACAGACACAAGGTGTATGTGTATATATAATAAAAATTACAAAGGAAATATTGAAGGAGAGAGTTTGAATGAGCTATACGCATAGTATCTGTATAAATTATATCAAAATACAAAACATTGTAGACCCTTCTTTTGGGAGCATTCCTTGAAAAATTCTAAAAAAATATAAAATTTTAGGGAAAAGAATTATTATCAGAGTTTTCAATTTCAATTTGAATGGGCATCATCGAGCTAGACGTTGAATTTATTAAAAAATAAAAACTGGACCTCTGTATGAATGATTAATTGTACAAAAATTGCAATGCTATTATTCAGTTTTTAAATAATAAGAAATTGAATGTAGAATTCAGTATGTTTACATTAAAGTGTAGTTCCCTCACATTTAAATGCACTAATAGTATAGTTGCCGAATTGTATAAAAACACAATAAATTATGCAGAGAGTCGAGTGACAGGAGTTGCTACAGATAAACTAACAATATAAAATTCATTGTCCATTTGTAATTTTTAATATTGTATACACACATACACTCATTATTATTTCTAATCTATTTTATATAATAATAATTATAAAATTATATTAAATTTTAAATTTTACTAAAATTTTTTTTTTTTTATAATACACGAACTTATTAATTACAAAGCTTATGTTTCATTTTTTTTTTAAATGGTATGCTTTATACAGTCGAATTTAATTAATTTTTTTTTTGACCTTTTTATAATTTATAATTAATTTAATAAATAGATAGATAATAATAATAATTCATTTGATTATGATAATAATATTAAATACACTGGCCATTCCAAATTGTCAAAGAATATATTGTATAATATGTAAAGAGTTTTCAGAATAGCAAATCGCTACTATAAACATCCAAATGGAGGGATCTAAGGCGAATTGGAGTATTGTTAGGTGGTCAAATTACTTTACGTTTATTGCGTAATAATGAGAAATTTCACTATTCTGAAAGAGCACTAATTTAAATAGTAATTAAATATTAACAAAGTAACTTCAGCTAATTTGTATAACGATTTCAGACTTCAAAATTGCAGCAATATGATCTCTGTTCATTCACAACTCAACTTATAAGTTGAATGATATAGCGGTAAAGTATGACTGCAATTTGGAAGCTGTTCACTAAATTTTAGATTTTATGAAATTATTTGAATTTATGGCTTGCCATTCTCGTCGTTTTTACACCATAAGGGGAAAAATTTCGATTCACCATTTATATGCTAACAGTTTACAAATATTTTTTTCTCTTCTTTACATGATTTTAATTTTTGAATATTAAATAGTTTTATTTTTACAAAATTATTAAAATTTTTCTTTCATTTTTAACACAAAATTTAATTTTTTTTTCCTCATTTACAAAATTCATTCATTTCAACTTCAATATTATTAAATTGTTCTATAATTACTAATATTATTCATATACTCGCCGCATGTTTTTATCCGAAATTTTAAATATCTTAACAAATTTAGCTAACAAAGACATTTTTCTTTTATTTTAAAATTTTAAATTACATTCCTTTTAATAAATATTACAAAATATATAAAAATTAACTTTTAAATTGATTAATTACAAAGAAAAATTATTTTTTATGTACGCATAACTTAATTTACATAACAAGAAAAAAAAAATGTTTTAATTCGCTTCCAATCAATGATAAATCCAATCATCTGGCAGCACCCAATCTTTTATTGAATATAAAATTTTTGCATACCAATGTACACCATTTTGTATTAATGGATCATTTAAAATTTCATTATTACTAATACTATTATCATTTTCTAATATTAAATTATTATTTATTTCTATATTATTTAATTTATTATCTGATATTCTTCTATTGTTACTGCGACTATTACTATTACCGCTACTACTACTGCTATAACTCCTGCTACTAAAACCTAACAAATTTTTCATTGATAAATAAGCACGTATTGGTGAAAAACTCCAATGTGCTATTGATTGACTATCGATTAAAGCATAACATGATGCTGCTATTGAATCAACAATTATTGTACCTTCGCGTGTTAATGGTGCAATATAACCTAAATTATGTACCAATGTTATTTTAATAACTTTTTCTGGTCTCAATCTATCATCTTTATATACTAAAACGAAATCACCTTCCTCAATTTTCGATGCAAATCTAAATTCACTTTGATTTTTACTTAAATTCCATACCATTATTAAATGTGCTGCAGTCACTGTTAATATTGCACCACTTTTTGTTGTTATTTGAACAAAATCCATAATTTCGTTCATATTATAATCTAAGAACATTATAACTTCACTATATTTCGTTTTACCATTCGATGTCATGCTGAGAACTTTTTCACCAAGTTTTAAATCACTAAGTCGTCGACGTTCTCCTGTCGATATTTGAACAGTGCTTTCAGATGTAAAACAACCGCTAACATGAGATTTTTGTGTTGAATCTATAATAACAAAAAAAAATTAAAAAAATAATTTTTTTAAATTTTTCGTGCGTGCTCTCATATTTATGTTTAAGTAAAGTTAGAAATTTTATTTATTGCAATAGAATTAAAGTCATAAAAAATAATTATTTATAGAACTCTATACAACAGATTTTGCAACAATAGAGGTTTAAACAGTAAACAGTATGCAAATTTTCAACTACTGAGCGAAAATATTTAAATGAGAACAAATTTTCTGATAGGAATGTTAGTGAGCACATGTGAGAGCAAGTATTTTCACTTGTTCTCACATATGTTCACTTCTGTAAAACACATAAGAGCTTTCTCATTTTAATGTATAAAGTTGACGCCACTGTGACCATTACCCATGATTACATAACATTCATATATAATTTATGATCTTGAAAAATTGGGACCAATAATGAGCGTGACCACTATAAAATTATGATTGTAAGGGAAAAACTAAAATTGATTCAACAAATTTACAAAATTTTCAATACAGTTTTGATTTCGGATTTCAATTAAATTTCTAGTTCTCTTCTTATATAATAAACGGGGGCACAGCAAGGAATATGCTTAACGAAATTCAACAATGAAACTCATGAGATTAAGAACTAATCATAAAAATTTTTTCAGTCGATCAAATTTAGAAGTTCGAATAAGTAATTCAGAAGAATTTATCGAAGTCAACTGTTTTTAATTTAAAGGTATGCACTATGAGATGTAGTAACCCTATACATAAAATTAATATCCTTTATCATTATTACATTTGTTTTTGCATCCGAATAATATTTGATTTTTTTATGTGCTGTTAATGTCATTTTATTGCCAATGCCTATACAAATCATTATACATTCTTCTAGTCTTATTATAGGGTAATTTACAGTGTCTGTGTGGTCCCATTGTTCAACCAAAAAAAAAAACCAAACAAGAACAGCAATAACAACACAAAATTAAATATAACAAATAATCGAAATAAATATAAAGTGAATAAATAAATTTACAATAAATAAAAAAACAGAAAAAGAAGAAAAAAAACGAATCAAGGAGTCAAAATCATTTAAGATATGAACACAATTGAATAAACAAACAAATATAATCAAAAATCTTGGATCTACAAAATAAAAATATTTACGACAAAAAAAAAAATAAGGCCAAAAAGAAAAACGAAAACAAAAATTATTGTGGTAAGCGACTAAATGGTTATTTTTGGAAGGTAAATTACGCTCTTTTGATCATTTTTTTTTCCTTTTTTTCAATTACCGACATTTCATTTTTTCTTCTGTTTTTTTTTTTTGATATTTTATCTATATGCTCTCCGAATGTTCACATAAGGGACTCTACGATACCTATATGCTTCATCTATATGTGCTTATATTGTTTACCCAAATGTGAACAGTAAAGGAAACCATCTCTCACCACATATCGCACCTTATAATAAATGTCGCTTACTGAAAAACAAAAATAAATATAAAAAAAATAAAAGAAGAAAAGCAAATATAGGATAGCCTTTTTGCCTTTTTGGTTCTTAAATTGAACACGCTGCTAATGCAATACAAATAGAAATATGGATTGGAAAGTAGGTACCGTGTATATTTATAGGGGTTTAAAGGACTTAGAAAATAAGTAAAAATTAACGAGAAAAATCTCTACATTTTCATATGTGCTTGGAATTTTTATTATGCCTGCTATATTTTATTTATAATGATCTTATTTATAATGATCTTCAAATAAGATCAGATTTTAAAAGCATTTAATTTATGATGGTATTTGTCATGTCAGGTTCAAGCAAAAATTAGGGTCGCACATAATATGTAAGAGGGATAGTTAAATAAAATCGCAACGTATAACAAATATTAAGTTTGAAATTGAGTTGAAGTGAAATTTTATAATTTTAATTTTCATTTCATAAATTTTATTCATTGAGTTGGTATTTTTAGCCAGAGATCGAAGAATAAATATTTCGGAATGAATTGGGCTAAAATAAATGGGAGAAATTGAAATTTTCCATTCACTCATTCCCAACTAAATTAGTGCACAGTTGGGAAGTGACCCAGCTAAATTTTCCCAATTTTTCCCAAACCTATTCCAAAAACACAGTATAATTCTCTATAGTCTGTCTTAACTTCATTATTCTTATTAGTGTTCTTGATCTGAGTTTCTTTTTAAAATTAAAAATAATTCTGAAAAAAAATATTTTAAAGAATTCAAATATTTTTTTTCCAAATTTCTAAAATATTTTTAATTAAATTTCTTATCTTATGATTTTTTTTAAAAATTTAAACCAAATGAATTCTTCAGTCTCGTCTTTTAATGCCACCGTAATCCAATTTAGCTCGAGCTAAAAATATCTTTTATTCTTTAACCGCAGTTAATAAAAAATCATTTTTTAATTCCTTATTTTTAAAGATTTATTATTAAATCCAAATTCTTTTGTATATGTATGTATATGTAAATAATCCTTGTATACAAATAACAAAAAAATTATAATAAAAATAAATCTTTAAGGAAAAGAAAAAAACTTGCAAAAAATTATTTTTTAATCTGCTTGACTTATACAATCCCTTCCTAATTTTAATCCTTCAGAATATTTTTTTTTTCTTATTGAAAATATTTTAGAGGATTTCATAAATCCTTGAAAAGATAATTTTAAGGCAATAACATTGACATTTTTCATTTCATCCCACTTAAATAATATTGTGATAGATAATCATGTGACCAATTTCATATATCCTTGTTATTTTTTTATTTAATATTTTGTTAGTTATTGATTATGGGCAACAGGTGAAGTAGAAAATTTTTATCCGTTCATTATGTAAAATTTACAATATATTTTTTTAATCCTATATGTAGGAAATTATGTATTTTTACGAAACTATAAGGGTAACTAAAGAAAGAAAAATAAAATATGAAAAAATAATGTTTTTAGAAAACCTATGCATTGTTTTAGAAAATATTTTCAGTAAAGGACAACACTCAACCATTTTATTAATTTAAAACGAGACTCGAAAACAATTTCGTTTTAATGGCAAAGCAATTTATATTTTGCAAGATTCTAAACCTTGTTGAACAAAACTTTTCGAATATTTTAATATTGTGTAGTCAAACAAAGTTATTCAAAATTGTTTAGTTGTTGTGCGTTGGCCGGTCACGTTCTGAAAATTATTGATTACGTTTTATCTGAAGATATTGCTCAATAACCCTGTAGTAAGCTCTTAAATGTTTTTAAATTTTCAATTTTCTCGCTTAACTTCAATTCAAGTTGATTTTTAAATTGCAAATTTTTGACCTTTTATTTTTATAAATAAACAAACTGAAACAAAAACTAAACAAAAAGATTTCGCGAACTTTATAACAAAACTATGCCATAAGTATTTCGAAAGGACCAAGTTGGATTTCTTTACATTACATATGTGCATTTGCGAGGTACAGTTTACATATAGGAAAAAGCCTAGGATTAAATCTGAGTCAGACTTTCATGTATACTTAAACAATAGTTAGCATCAGGGTTTGTCTAACAACAAACAACAGAAATTATTTTGTTCTTATCATTTCTCATTTACTGTCCGATTTTTCAAAAGTAAAAAGGTGACAATAAATTTTTTGTGAGAGTTGGAAACATCAACCAAATCAGCTGATCATTTTTGTTATAATTTGCATTTTTCAAATTATTAAATTTTGACTTTAAGTCTGAGATCAATCAAACAATTTTAGTCTGATGTGTAAACAGTCACCAGGTTGTCGTATACTGATTGTCGTAAATTAAATCTTAGATTTTGTCGTACATGTAAACGGTGCCTAACTTTATCATTTATTTGTCTTTGAACTGTACACCTACTATTCGAGAATTGTTTAAAATACCTTTTTCGCAGTTTGAATTATTAGAAAATCTCTTCTTTAAAATCTGGCAATTACGACAGCATCTTATATTTGATTTCAAGTTCTTTATTTTATGTCATAAATTTAAGCGTTATGAAAAAATTTTTTCCCTTATTAATTCAAAAATTTCGTTACAAAAACAGAAAAGAAAACAAAAAAGGATATGCAGAATTTTCAATTAAGGTAAAAATTACGCCTTAAGGTTACTTGCGCTTTAAAAGAAAATGAGTGGAAAAAAAAATTATAAAAATTACAAATTAGTTATGAACGTCAAAAAGATGGGCTTTTTAATATAAAATTTATGTTGCGTTTTTTTTCTGTTTTTTTTTTATTTTTTTTGCATCTTTTTATTTAAGAGCGTATAAAAGTGATGATACGGTAATGATAGTAATGATAATTATAATAGTTGGGAATAGGTGAGGAATGATTGGCTTTTTGCTTCACTTAATTTTTTTCTTTTTTTGTTTTGCAATGTTTTTCATGCGTGTAAAACAAATCAGTTAAAGAAAAACTTGAATTTTTTGCATTAAAATGGTGGAGACTGTATAGTAAGTTGTTTGGTGTATGAAGACGCAGAGTCATAAACATTGCTTTGGTATGCTTCATATTTAATTTGGTTAGAGTTGTGCAATGATGATATTAACTTGAATAATTTTTTACCTTGTTTATTATTGTAATTTTGTACTCATACCTTATTTATAAAACAACTGGATGGTCTTAAGTTCAAAAAGAAGAAATTATAACTTTTGTGTGACATTTAAAAATGAACTAAAATATCTGATTGAATTTTATAGTGAGCGATGATTTGTAAATATGCAATTTTAAAACTAATTTCACTTTACTTTGAAGCATTTGTTTTTTTTTTTTTATAAAGAGCATAATATGTAAATGAGTATAAGTGAATAACAAGCCTCTTGACAGGCCTCTAGGGAAGTGTTAAGCATACCATTTTATATTTTATTTCTCTTATACATTTTTCTTATGTTTTTGCTGTTAGGTTTCATTCATTTAATCAGTTTTGGTGTTGAATAACTATAGTCCATAATGCATGTATAAAATTATGTATAAGGCCAGAAATATAAAGGAAGGAAGGATAAATTTTTGATGACTTGAGTTGAAAGCTGATATCTTGAGTTTATATATGTTGTAAATATGAATGTATTTAAGTGTGTATCATAAAGACTATATGTATATTTTATATTTAAGTTAATAATATTGGTTATTATTTCTGCTGTCGTCTTGTTTTTTTTTTTTTGCTTTTAATGGGACCTTGTTTGTTGTCGACTTGACACTTCCTTTCCATAAAAGTAAAATTCATTTTAAAATGAATAAATTAATAGGCATATACAAGTTGATTTGATTTTTAATTTCACTTAATGTAATCGTTGTATTAAAATAAAGGAAAAAAAAATTTAGACGCATACTGCGAACTGGGAGTTGAAAAAAAGTTGGGAAGAAATGTGAGAAGAAAAATGGCAGAAAAAGAAAGGAATAGTAATGCTATCATACAATAAGATTGGGTTTTTTCTTGAATTCTTGAGCGCTCATTTGAACTCATTTTAAGTATTCGAATGAGGTATTAAAATTTGTGAATATTTAGAAAGTTATCGAACAGAATCAATAGTCATACATATTTTGTGTACTTATTGTTATTAAATTTGAAATTTTCATGAAAATTGTAGTAGACACATACTTCAAGACTGTTGAATGAGGATTATTTCAGCATATGAAACTTAAACCACCAAACCACCAAACGATATTAAAGTAACTCATTATTGACAGCTAAATTATATTGTTCAATTTTTTTTTTGAAAAATTAAAGTCATTTTTTGGGCTGATACTGAGATATGAATTCAAGAAATTAATTATAACAGTGTTTCGTTCCCTATACAACATGTTTGATTGCCTGCTTTAAACAATTTGTATGACACACAATGCTTTTATTCTGGGAATAGTTTTATTTATTCATGTTATGTAGCTGTTAATACTAAATAATAATAGCTTCAATGCAACGCAATTCAGTTTCCCATGTTGCTCAGAATATTTTTCACAATTGCGTTAGTCCACATGCGCGATAAAATTACTTACAACTTGTTGTCTTATACATTTTAGCCCAATTTCTTCAAACAAATGATTATATTGCCCAACATATGCTTAGAAATTTTGAATCCATGTAAAAAATGAGATGAAAGTTAGTTTGAAAAATAGAAAAAACGATCAAGAGGTTTTCAACTTTTTGTTACTTTTTCTTCAAAAAATTTAATTTCTGACCAATTTTGATTTGGATTATTTCATTTTTTTTTTTTTTGATCTCTTTTCAATTTTACATAATTTATTGTTCTCTTTAGTTATTTTTCAGTTAGTAAACCAGTCCTTTTGCATTCATTTTCATTTCTCCTAAAATTTAATTTTTTTTGTTCCGTTGTTGTTGTTACTTTTGTTTACCATTCCTTCGACATCGTTGGAATCTTTGAAATGTTCATGTGTTTCTTAGGTTTTTTTTTTTATTCTTTTGTATCTTTATGAAAATTACAGCCATTTTAAATTCCATTGAATCCATTTTGTTATAATGATACATGAATCGGATCTCTGCTGCTATTTTATTACAATTTTTTTATGTATATTTAAAACGGCGACAAGGTAAAGCGCACCAAATGCCTCAATACAACAAAAACATAAAGTTTTCGGCATTTTTTCCACATTTTTCATTACTTTTATTATTTTTGTTGTTGTTGTTGTTGTTGTTGTTTTATCAGAATCAAAATAACATTCAAGATTACTAATATTTACTGGTTACTGACTGATTTTCTCTTCTTTTATTTTTCTTTTCTTATAATTCTCATTTTACCATTGTATATAAGTAATATTGGTTTGGTTTGGTACCTACAACTTTTAAAGAAAGAAAACGATAACAATATAACAAGAAGAAGAATCAGAAAAATAACAAAAATTTTGTATTGATTTGATGCATCTTTAAATGCGGTTACCTCTATGGTGGTTAGATGAGAAAAATATGAACTGTTGATGCTTTTGTTCTCATTATTGTTGTATAGTTATAAAACAGCAGATATAAACATTTTTATGTTGCAGATAAATAAAAGAGTATGAAAAGAATACAAAAAAAAAAAGAAATAAAAAATTACAAACAAGAACAAAATTTTGAGCATCCTAAGGGAACATGAGTTTTTTTTTTACCATGGCATATAGATACCTACATATATTTTAATGGGACAAAAGAATTGAAACCGCAATCGTTGTATAAACATTAACTATTACAAATATATAAAATAAACATAAAATTTACAATACAAAAGAAGTAAAAATGTGTGTAACTGATAAGTCCAGTTGGTGTACTTTTCAAAAGAATAAAAAACTAGAGAGAGAGGTATATATAGGAGGGGGCCGAACAGACACTCTTTTGATTTCATTAAAAATGAATTAAAATTATCAATTTAGATTAGTTAGAGTAAACAAAAAGTATTTTTTACATTAAATCCAGTTCTAGTGAATGTGAATGAAAACATTGTGTTGGTTAGATTGTGTTTTGGGAGAATATAATCAACAATTATTTCTATTTCCTGAATTTGCGAATTTCTTTTATTCAAAAGAGACTCCTTTAATTGAGTAGAGATTTTACACGCATAATAAATTTAAAAATAATTTAAATCAAATGAATGTATATACGAAAACTTACCCGATTTAACGGAACAGTGAATATGTTCTCTACTTTCATAATATACCCAGTCGAAGCCAGCTTCTACCGCTAATCTAGCTAACATACCATATTTACTACGATCACGATCTGATGTTGTTATATCAACTGCTCTACCTTCATAGTGCAGTGATTCATTACCATGTTTCATATCTTCATCCCAACTTTCTGTTACACGTAATCGTTGACCAGGCCATCGATTCATAACAAGTACAGCCAGTGTATTTAATTTTTCTTTACATCTCTGAAATAAAAATTATGAGAATGAAAATTTAAATTACATTGATTTTATATGTAAAAAATAATTTTTCAAAAATACAATCATAAAATCATGTGTATTGCGGAAAAACCCTCTCTATATGAGGCATATATTTTAATCTATTAAATTTATATTAAAAGTCTAGATTATAAGATCCTCAACAAATTTAATGATGAGTCACTCTAAGAATTTCGTATATACATCAAATTGAATAATGAGCCTTTTATCCATTTAATTTATTTAAACTAATTTAATTTACGTCAAATTTTATTTTACACCCGCCACGCAATTTATTGTTTTTGATTTGAAAAAAAAAAAAACAAAAAAAAAATCTTTTAAAATCCTTTAAAATCCTAATTGGTCATACCCACAAAATAACAGCAGTGACACGTTATACATTTAACATTCAAAATTTAATAAAAATTTTTTTTGCCTTTTCAAATATTTTGGAAATATTTTGACGCCGTGTCTAATTAAAAATAAAATTTTGTCCTTTTTCAATCAATCTTCTACGGTAGTCCTTTTGTTTTTTTTTTTGTTTTATATTTTTCTTTTTCAAAATTTTCGTTTCCGAGTTAAATTCTTTCATAATTTATTGAATTAACAAGGCACATGTGCATTGTAACTTTTGAAATGAACAATAATTTTAATAGGAAAATTTCGAACTTAAAAACTTTTGGCCTTTGTTTTTTTTTCAATAGTTATTCTATGGTGTAGGCTCCTTGTATAGAAGCAAAAATGCTCTTGTTTTATTTTAAAATATGCTAAAGATAAAGTTGAATTTATTTTCAAATTTAGTTCCAAATTATGAATTGGAACCAATATTTCTTAGAACTGAAATTGTCAAAATGCATAAATCACTTCATTATTGTTTTCATACATTCAGCTGTTTGGGGTTAAATTAGAATAACACAAAATAATAGATTTTAAAAATCTTATATTCTAATTGGAAGATATAGAATCAAACTACATCTTAGATGGTAATCAGGCTTCCCTACATATTAAACATTAGCTGTATGTGAAATGTGCAATTATAATATCGTTTGCAATTGAAAGACTTGAGTAAGAAACTTTTTTTTGAAAAATACAATTGACTTGCTCACAAACTCTTCAGATTCACTCAGAGTACCCCAGATTTCAGGTTGTGGCCTGGAACGTATTTTTAAAAAGATTTGGTAAAGTACACGATTAAAAGTTTTTACAAAATTTAGTTAGAAAATTTTTCGTTCGTCTTCGTAGTAGGTCAAATTTATTTGGGCTCATTCTTATAGTACTGTTGCGTTAATGATGTACTTAATTAAAAAAATTAGAAATTACTGACTCAACTTGAGAAAATCGAAAAAGAAATGAAAATTTATTGAACTAATAATTTTAATTCTAAAATATAGATTTTCTAATTTTGAAGTATTCACATTAGGGTAAGTGTTATAGTTACCTATTATAGTTATTAGGATAAGTGTGTATAGTAATACATGTTAATTTATATGAACAATATTTATAAACAATTAACGTACATTTATATGAATGAAAGTTATATGAAAATTCTCTCCAATTACAAAATAAAATCAAAAACATTACTCCTTAAAACGTCACCGATATTTAGTTTTACTTTATTCGAGGTATGCCCACATTATGAAATAACACATAGAAATTATGCATATTTAAGGGCTTTATATATTGTGACTTCAAAAATGCAGTAAAAACGTATTTGCTACAATGTATCATATTCAAAAATGTATTATAAAAGCTCTTGACGTTGTATCATATTCAAAAATGTAAAATAAATGTAGTGGATACGTAAAATAAAAGCAGAGAGAGTAGCGAAAAAATTTAGGCTGCATTTTATATACATGTCATAAATATGTTACCAGTGTTAAATAATAAATAAACAAAAGCTAATTTTTGACAGAAAATTGTAAGCCGTCCAGTTTTTTTCTAAAATTTAGTATAATGAGCTATTTTTTTTTAAACTTTGGTAACGTTCATTATGTAAAAGCAAAAGTAAACGTCAAAAAGTTTATAGATCGTCAAATTCATGTTCAAAAAGGTAGTAAAAGCTTTCGTATTTTTAATACAACGCAGTGGTATTAAAAGCTTTGCGGCGGTAGTAAAACTGTATTAAAACTGTTTTAAAACTTTTTGTACTGCATTTTTGAAGTCACAGATACTTATATGAAAATTTCACATCATAAAATATTCAATTTTACCATTTTTACCAACTTTACCTTACCATTATCACTGATATTATTATCAATTCCATTTATTACATATTATTGTTGTTACAACTCATGTATAAAATAAATAAATATTAAAATATACCCTATATATATATATATATATATGGTACACACCATTTTAATGAATGCACAAATCGAGTCATAAATATACATACTTACATACCGAAAGGCACTTTGATTTGGCATTAAAAAATCTAATAGGAAAATATGAGACAAAAAAAAAACAGAAACAGAAAAGTTGTAATAGCTGGCAATACACACATATACCAATATAAAAAATTATATTCAATGTAAGAATAAAAAAAAAAAAAGAAGAAAAAAGAAATACAAAACTCCGCCATGTAAATAAAATGCCGGCAATTCAGTGAAGTGAAACGCGAAAATTTCAATTGAACCGAATCTGAATTTTTGTTTATCCTTCCATGTTATCCATGATTTTTCGATTGCTTTTCATATTGTTTTTTGCTTTTTGTACTTTTAATGCTTTTCAAAAAGGTGATAAATACTTTTAAAAATTTAGAAGAGTTGAAAATATATTTAAGCGAGTTTATACCTTATTCACATTATTATTCTTCGCGTTTTATGTACATATATTATAATTATTTGTGTAAGTATGTTAGTACATATAGATTATGAATGGTGTAATTATTAAGGTGTTATTTTTTTACTTACATAGTTACATACATTCTATATATGAATTGAATGTATAATGTGTGAGCATATTATATTTACAGGTGATTTTTAATGTGTACACTGTATGTAATATTGTACATGCTCTGTTGAATGAAATTTTAATGATAATGGTGAAAATGAAAAAATAGAAAAAAATAATAAAACTCCATAGAGTACACAAATATTACGTGCCTATATATACAAACAAACTTAAGTATATTTCCTATGTTATACATATGTACATATTTAATATTTGTTTTTGTTATTATTGTAATTTCTGCTTTACTTTTGGTATCGGTTCGGTATTATGAGGTGTAAATTTTCTTGTATATTGATATTCCGTTTTATTTATTTAAAGCGTTCGACCGTATATTTTCGTTATATTAATAGTTAATGAATAATAATGAACAAGTTATAAGGGAAATATGGTATTGTTAAAAGAAAGAGAGAAAATCATAATTTTAGGATACATTATGAGTGCATACAATAGTTTCGCATGAGTCTACCTTACAATAGGGTTTCTTCTTTAAAAAATATTTTAAAAACATAGCGCCTAACAACATAGCGCTATACTATTTTTATAACAAAAGTTAAAACTTAACGCTATTGTAAATTATAAAGCAAGAGACAAAATAATATGAAAGTACGTGTTGAAAAGAGTTAGGGATAGGGATATGCAAGAGCTTGCTGGAAAGGAAGGCGCAGATATTTCCGTTTGGGTGGAAAAATTATATACAGAAGAATATTAGATAATTGCAATAGGATTGTGATACCACGCTAAAACTAAAAAGAGTTTAAGTCAAATCGGTACACTGCTGAAAACTAGGAAATTTACTACGGGCTGCAGCCATAAGTCTGAGAATATTATTATCTGAACGTACTCTGGTCGAATTTCAGTTGGTATAAAAGGGTTAAGTGTTACTGTTTTGAAGGCTAGTTATGTCTTTTCTGATTCACCATAGTGACATTTTTTAAGACTAAAAGTCATTAACAGGGTGATTTGAATCACTTTTAATCAAGAAAATAATATTTGAAGAGCTGTCTGAATGTTTGGCCTGAATGTTTTCCTATTGTGCGGCGTCCTACAATGATCTCCTGGCAGAGACGACATAATCAATGACTAAAAGGCTAGTGGATTAATACGCTGTAAGGATGACTTTTTTAACTTTTTCCCATACCGACTAGAACTTTTAGGACTTTATTTATTGCATTGTTTACATCAGCATCAGTTTATATCACAGTGTAGTCATTGTCATATAAGAGATCATCTTAACACTGAAAGTGGGTTAGGATGTACAGATATTTCTAAGTTGAGGATCGAAGGGTTACAAGTTTTTAAGGAACACTCATCCTGAATCGACTACCAGTGGATATACGTATGGAAAACGAAATTTTTTTGTGTTCAAGGAGTTCAGTATATCAGTAGGCAGAAAGAAGGGTAAAATCATTGTAGTTCATTTAAGAAACGTTTGTGGTTAAATAATTTTTTTCAAAGATTTGCGATATTTATTTTTTTTTTAATTCACAAATTGCCGACCCGATATTTTTCAATTTAAAGCATCTTTTTCAACTATGTATGCGAGCTATTGTAATTGCAAAACCCATTTTTTTTTTGCCAGTCATATTTTTTGATTAATATTTCATTTTCAATTTTAAAATTAATTTCAAATATGGAAAGAATAATTTAATAAAATATTCATCTTTTGGTTTAGAAAGTAACATTCATGCATCATCAATAACAAATTATTACACAAATTTTCCATTGTACAGCTATTAAAATAAAATTTATATTCCTCTTTCGTCTATTACTATTAATTAACATTTCTATTATTAAATATGCAAAAATTACAGAGAAACAAGAAACTGAAGAGAGAAAATTTTCTAATTTTACAACATAATAACAATTAAAATATTGTGGTCTTATATAATTTTCCGGAGCTTAATGTATAATTGCATTCATCATTTTACCTAGATATACCATAATATGCACAATTAAATAATTATTATTATAGAATGTACCAAGATTTAAGGAAAACTACTTATGCATCATTAAGTGTTGTGCTTGTGTTGCGCTAT